TCTCTCTCTCTCTCTCTCTCTCTCTCTCTCTCTCTCTCTCTCCCTATTGCCCTCCCACATGGCACCACTCATTCAACAAATATTTATTGTCCTCTATTTGCTTAGAATGTGTAGAAAGGAGTTCAGAGAAGATCTCTGTTCTGATGGATGTTATATTCTAGTAACTAGAGACAAACAACAAATAATTACACAATAAAGTAGTACAATTAAAAAAGGATAGAACTAGAGAATAATTTGGGACATTTTACATGCTGATGAAAAGTCACTCTGAAGATAAAACTAAATCATGAGTAATAAGGAGGAGAGAATATTGAAAGATCTGGAGGAAGAGTAATTCAAGTACCAGGAACATTTTGACACATTTATGGAAGAGAAAGAAGGTAACCATGTTTGAAAGGTAATTATGAGAGGGCAAGAATGTTTTACAGTTATATTGGTGATGTAGGAAAATGCTAGATCATATAAGTATTTTACATATAGAATTTGGATTATTGTTCTTAGTGTGATGATATTCTATTGGTTTTTATACAGAAGAATGACATCTTATGTATTGTTTGAGCAAAAGAGAAGGAACTAGCATGGGAGGATAATCAGGAGAGGATTGTACATAAAAATCAGAAGAGTGCCCAGAATGAAGAAGTTGTCGATTCATTAATCAAAATATAAAATAAAATATTGTAAAAAATTGCTATTGGAACCAAGTTATGGAACCAGCCCAAGTGCCTGTCAATAGAAAAATGGATAAAGAAAATATGGCATATATACACAATACGGTTTTACTCGGCCATAAAGATAAATGAAATTATGGCATCTGCTGGTAAATGAATGGAACTGGAGAATGTCATGCTATGTGAAATAAGCTAGACTCAAAGTCAAGGATCAAATGTTTTATCTTTCATGTGAAAGCTAGACCAAATTAAGGGGAGAAAAGTTGGGGGGCATTCAATGAAAATAGAGGGGAGATCAGTGGAACAAAGTAAGGGGATTGATGGGGAGGGAGGAGGGATGGGAAAGGAGAGGAAAAGTGGAAGGAAATTGACAGAATTAGGCTATGTGCATATATGAATATACTACAGTGAATTACACCAAAAAATAAAGACCTTTATTTTATGTAGAGGAAAGAGAACAGGGCAGGGAGGAAAGGAGGGGAAGAAGTACTGGGGACTGAAGTGAAGCAAATTACTTTCCATGCTTATATAGTTATCAAAAATGAACACCAATATCATTTATAATTATAATATATTAATAAAAACAGAAAAAGTGGCTATTGGATTTGAAGACCTGAAGGTTAATGGTGACTTTTACAAGAGATGTTTAGTGGGATAGCAGGCAAAGTGAGTAGTGGGGTCATTAAGTTGAGGGTATAACTAGGAAAAATTGATTTCTGCGCAGGTGTACACATGACAATGGAAGGGGTTGTTGGGTCAAGAGAGCTTTATTTGTATGGTAATAAACAACTTTAAATTAGAAGGTATTAGAGATGCCAGAGGTGCAGGTAATTTTAGGAAAAACGTACTTAAAAAGGTGAGAGAATGTGGGATAAGGAGCAGAATTTTCTACTGTAACTTGCTCAATACATGACCTCTTTTTATACTTTCCAAATCAACTGACAGTTGAATCACATAGATTTTGCTGATTGCCATAGCAAAAATAGTACTTGAAATAATTCTAGTTTAATAAGAAATTATATTACCAAACACATGGCAGAAATAAATCACACACATTTTGGTGGGAATGTTTTCAATATACATATGAGATTGTTATTTTAATCATCTTTGACAAATTGTATCTTTTAGGTGCTTCAAGAAGATCTAGAACAGGAACAAGTCAGGGTCAATTCTTTAACTCACATGGTGGTGGTAGTAGATGAATCCAGTGGAGATCATGCAACTGCTGCTTTGGAAGAACAACTTAAGGTCAGAAATTTTTCTTTAATGAACTAAATATGTTCTTCAGAATATATAATTACAACTTGAAAACATTCAGACAATTTAGAATTTGATTTATTAATATTTTAATGTGATATATTAAAGTAATTAAGATTGTTTCCCATTTGTGAATGTTTTCCTGTATACTGTTTGCTTATACTAATTTTCTAACCTTTGGGGAAATATACAAAGAAAGGTTCCTTTATTTTTGTTACAGGGAACTGGTTTAACCAATACTATTTATATCATCTTCAAGTCTAGAGCCTAAAAGGGCACAAACATTTTTTTTTAAATCACAATTGATTAAATCACAAATTGAATGCCTTCAGTGTGTGTATTCCTATAGGCCATCAGTTGTAGTCTTGATGTAATGATAGCAGGATTGAGTCATATATGTTGGCTGAAGTAGACATTTATTCTTTCAAGCATTCTTCCAACCTAAGGTACAATATTTATGTTTTTAGAAACAAAACCAGTATGATTAAGAAAAAATAATGTGAACATTTTAATTTGCTTTGTCTTCTAAATTAGAAAAAAAATATTGTTAATGTAAAAGAATTTTAAAGTATATTAAATATGAAAATATCAACAGTAAGTGAAAACAATCACTTTGATGGACATATATAATTATATGTCCATCCAAATTATAGTAAACTTCACATTCTTTTTTGAGACACTCATTTTACCTACCAAATGCCTGTTTGTCATTTGTGACAGATAGCAGTCACCAGTCTATGTCAAAGGATCTTATCAATGTGGGTTTAAATGGCTTTATCAACTCAAATTAGATCTAAACATAATTTCTCCTACCTAACCTCTAACACAATTTCTTAAAACCTTATCTCAGTTTTATTCCTTTTCTTCCTGATTTTTTCTTATTCCAGTGAAATATCTTTTCCTCAGGTTATTGCTTTAGACTGCCAAACTTAAAAAAATGTTTTCTTATTCTCTGTCATTAAAAGACAAAGGGAATGCTTTTGAACTAACAGGTTGGACAGTGCTGTAACCAAAAATTTAATATATACTGACAATTCATGTTATATCACTTGACTTTCAATAAAATTGCAGGGATCTAAAAAGACCTATGACCTCAGCTGTGACAATATATTATTAAATATATAATCATTTATATTGCATACACACAAACACAAACATACGGATGTGCACTTTTGACCAGTTAAATTATTGCATTTTAAAGAATCCACAGAACTGATATAATAGTAACAAATTATAGGATAAAAATCTAATACTCAATATTTCCCAGAATTTTTCAGAAAAGGTAAAAGAAGACAGAGTAGGGTTGTTTGGAATAGTGACTGGTTAAAAAAAAATAGGGCAGGAAATTGTTAGGTCACTACTTGACCCAGCACAATTGGCTTTACAATATAAAATTGTTCCAGGTGATGATTGTGGAACTGAGGCATCTCAGAAAACATTTCATAAAACTCAGATAGTGACTAGATTAGAACTTAGGAAAGAGTCATTATTCTACATGCTTTCATTTTTACTTATTTTTCTGCCTGTATTTCTTTAGTTCAAAGGTATCTACTAAATACCTGTGCATGTATTGGCTATTCCAAATTCATATAAACCCAGTGTGCATTTGTCCATGATTATCTTCTCCTTCAGCAATCTATATACCTCTTTACTGCCACCTTAATTTCAGATATTCTAGTGTCCAAAATGGAGTGGTCACTAGAGATCCCCAAAGGAGAGGGGAGACAGAAGAAATTAAGAGGACTTTTAGGGATTTGGAGGGATGCTGGGCAGCGG